CTTCGCATAATTCAGGAAACAGTGGTGGTCTTGGAGTTGGTTCGTGTGTTTCTGGTGGAGCCACACTTCGCTTGGTTTCCAGTAACACTAATGCGTCAGGTACAATAAATGGTGGAAGCGGTGCTACTCATTTGCCAGTTTATCGTTTGATGCCACAAGAACCTGTGGGATCTGATAGAGTGAGTACCATTTTTGGTGTTTTGTATCATTCGGGTGCGATTAACTACTCATATGACAATTTCGTCCTGGGGAGAATGCTTTTTGATGGGGTTCTCATTTTCGCCAATGATCTTATGTGCTTGATTACTTCCAGTAAGAAACAACTTAACCCACTATCTCCTCATTTATCTTTCATTTTTGNCGATAGAAGTACAAACGACATTCCAGAGGTACTTGCTACAAAACAGCATAAACCTGCTCATCGATCGCAGCGAACTGCTGGTTGTATGTGAAAGTCGAGCCATAGTAAGAAACTGCTTTAAATTGTCCCACAAGGCATGAATATCCACCATTGCAAGGTTCCCGCATTCACTCCATATTTTGACATCAATAAGCACCACTAATCATCTGATCAGTTTGCATTGTTTCGTATGTCACAAGTGATCAATTAAAATACATTGGTCTTTCGAGTAAAATATGGAACACAGAAAACCCCATTGTCATACAAACTGCTACACAACTGTTGAGAAACACGGAGTATCACTTGTTCGGAAAATCTGTCCCTTATTCTGAGAATTCTTCCTTAGCATCGAAAGCACGTTGATTGTCTGCTCTCATGAACGATAGATCTAATCTAGTTCTCTTAATCCTTACTTTTTAACATAATCAGCTGTGCCTACAATTTTTAGGAAGGGGGTAACTTCCAGGCCACAAATAAGCGGTGGATTTTTATGGTGCTAAAAAAATCTGAGAACGTGACCTACGTGCTTCCGTGCCGCTTAACAATCACCGTCAAACAAAAGCAGGTTGCTTTTTTAAACTTATCGGATATTCGACTCTGCTACCCCAAGTTAAAGTAGCACACTTTGTAATAAATGTAGCGATTGAGCTTTGGGAAATACACGATTTACCATGCTGCAAATCATATTCATACTCGTGCATGCTCGTTGTTAACCCACATTGATAGATGCCAAACTGCCTCTCTCTGCTTCATTATCTATTTTAGTCGGGAAATGGTGTGACCCATGTGCTCGCCTCAGCTATGTCTGGTCCGCGTACAAATATTCTCGGCGCTGCAACGGGCAGCGCATCCTTGATGCACGCACGCACACGTGTCAGTCCTGCACTGCACACAACCGCTCCAACTTCGACATTTAATGGTCTCAACGTGCTCAATACAGCTGTTAGTCTAGTCGCAAGTGCCCATTCTGCTTTCTCATCCACGTCGTCCTCCTCAGTAGGATCAAATGGAGATGTGACCGCACCACAGTCGTCGTCGCAACGGTCCAGTCCTGGTAGTTATTCTTCCACTTCATCTACTTCATCCTCTCTGGGCAATCAAACAGCTTTACGCCCTTTACATTCGCATGCTTATGAAGAACTGTGTGAGGATGGGTCTGCAGCTGGTGCGAGCGATACAATCACTATACCTGCCCAGAAAAAAATCAAGTCAGTTTCTACTCGCTGTTCGTCTGCCTCATCGTCGGTTTCCTCATCTAGTCCTCCGGCTCCATTACCACCCCCGGCCTCACTACCATCAGCCTCAATTTCCCACCCTTCGTCTCCACCCTCCATTGTATTGGCGGTACCAGTTCGCCACGTGCCGACAAATGTCACCCCAAAGGATGACGATCTAGGGTTGAAACGTCAACGTTTAAGCTAGTCCCCTGTTCACTTTTTCTCCTCATCGAGTCCAGTACTTCATATTGTTCTAGCCTGTCCGATAGGCATCTTCGCTCAAGGCCCACTATGTCCACGTCCAAAGACCAACCTTACTGGTCACTTTTCCTCTTAATTAAGTTAGCTTTGCTCCACGCACAGCTTTTCATTTCTTGCTCCATTGTGCTTGACACTAATTAAAGAAGCCCCCCATGACTTCTTAGTATTTGACCTTACTAAACGCTTCACCTCATGGCCTAGTCCCGAGGCATTTCGACTTGTTCTTGGCTTCGATGATGCAGGCTAGGCGAGTCACATGGTTTATGGAGCTATTTTTGACTTTTGTCAACCCATTTTTACGGTTGTCGTTCTTCCTGAAGGCTGTCATGTTTGCACACTCCCTCCACATTCGTTCGTCCGTAATATGGTCTTGTGTAAAAACGGCTCATTTTAATTCCACATGGTTTTCCAGGGGAATGCCCCAACGGGCATGGTTCAAAATGTGACTTATCTGCTTTTCTGGGATACCTATATACATCTCTTGTTCTGGCTTCCTGATATGCTTATTGTTCACTTTGTATCGTTTTTGAACAATAATAACTCTTTATTGTTGTCGGTATATATATCCACATTTATTTTCATCTCCGTTTACTTGTTCACTACTGTTGGTTCCTCTGCCGTTTGTCAATCTGGTCTTCATTTATGTTCGGTTTTTGGCTCCTTTCCGGACGTTGTGGTTGTTCACTGTTCTGGTTTGTGTACAGCTCCATTCCTTTGTTTTGCACTAATAAACAAATACTTATGATCTCTTCATGTTCATGTTATCTAAATCACTCCCCACCGCGACTTCTTTTTTGTCCGGTCGAACTAAGAATAGGGTCATTTGTTTGATTATCTTAATCCACAGTGTCCCGTTTTTGACCTCCTTTTCTCCTTTAATAAGATATTTCGTTTACACATTCTGATTTTTTCTCAGTTACAAAATGATATTGTTTCTAACCAGTTCTATTTCCTACCACCTGTTTCATGTGGTTCATCGAACTGCATTTTTGATTTGTTTTTCATCACCTGCTCCCTTAATTTGCCGAAATCCGTTCGGCTGGCCACACGTATGCTTCTTTTGTTTTGTTCATGTTCCCGTTATTGTTATTATTATTACTGTTGCTGTTCTGGTTCCTATTACTTTACAATATGCCTACCGAAGTGTTTCGTTCTACTCATTCCCACCACCTTTGTCCTCACTAATCTTCAGGTGTTCCCCTATCCTTTTCGACCTTGCGGTTTTTTGCAGCACTTATCTGACTCATTGAACATTGTCCGGATATCAGTACTAAATCTTTGGCATTGTTCCCTGTTATTCCTCTATCCCTCGTGCACAACTACTCAGTTAATCACCACCATTTTCGGGACACTTACAACCACCCGTCTTTTCTGATCTTCACTGTCACCAACATGAATGTTTCACACATCTTTCATTCATTCAGTATCTCATCAGTCCATTCTCTTCACCGCCCTCTGTTTAGGAAGAACCAAAAATAGATCAATTACTATACCGTCAGTCTTTTTCATCTAATATCGGTTGGATGTAGTGTTGCTGTACACTTCAAATGACTCGGTCGACTTTTTGTGCGTAGGCAGTGTTTTTTCAAAGATATCCTGCTATCCATAGCATCGGGCCAGATGGGTGGGGTGCTCCGAGCTAATTCGATTGAAACCGTATTCAATGGTTTTACTTGCAGACGGTTTGAGTTTGTTACTAGCAAAAGCCATTACCATTCAGTTGCGTGGGTTAAATTACTCAATCTCATCAAAAGTGTATCAATAATCGGCTGCGTCATTTTTGAACGGGTCACTTGTTGTTGCGTTCTATTACGACCTGAAACTCACGATGCCACGATTCTCACATTCAGCAGACGAGTTTACTTGGTAAAGCACGAGACTATTAGTCTTGTCAAGTCATCTGTACTGAGTCTGATAAAGGGTCAGCGAGTTTATTTTTTATTTTCTGACTCAAATCTGCAGTGCGACGGGCTTCACGTCTGTCAAATTGCTTCTCTTGCTGACTTCCTTTTAAACTATTTTGAATTTTTTGGGATCATTTGAGAAGCAGTACATCTCTCAGAATCGAAATAAAGAAAGAAGCGCTTAGAAGACCGTTGGCGAAACGAAGCAAACTTTTTTTATGGAGTAAGATTGGGGAATCCATAATTAACTCAGATGTTTGGCTGAATGTTGACTGAATTCAAAAGGTTCCCACGAGATCAGGACTTCCGTACTGTTTCGTACGACATTACCAGGGGTCTGAAGTTCAAGTTTCAGCGGGGTCAATGGGTATACACTACTAATGCGCTAACAAGAACGAAACTCGAGTCTGGTGCTTCCTGATTGTCTTGAATGAGGTGAGGATTGAGCGTCAAGATGAAAACTGAAGAATTACGGTATCATTGAACTAATACGCTGCACCAACTGCCGTTCTACGTAGCGGTTCTCATGTTCGATATTTTAAAATAGGATTTATCTCTTGAGCGATGTAGTACAGGAAGCACGAGTGAAATAACGTCAAGGAAACATGCGTATGTTGAAAGCAATTTTAAGTACTATTGACGTTAACGCAACCGCGATCTGCATCCGTTTTGCAACTTACTGTTAGAACACTAGGTAAACTCCACAATCAGCCTGTCAGGTAAAGTACTTCAGAATCTGCTCAGATGAAGTGCTATGTTGATGTCTGTTCAACGGGCCGACTGAGCTACTCGCTGGAATACCAAGTCATCAAACGGATGGCTTGAGCCCCGGATGTAGATTTCCATCGTCAGCTAAACGGACCGGAGTTTCGCGAACTTGCTGTACTTGCACCGTCCATTCGTGAATCAGAGCTATAATTCGGTGTTGCGTTTTGCAGGTTAGATGCTGGTAACTCGGACAATTTATCATTTTGATGTTTTCAAGATGAACTTGATGTCCGGGAAGGCTGTTATAGATTCTATATACTTCCGAGTACTCCAGGACCTC